GGTGACGTCATCAAGTGATTTATTATGGATTTATGAATAATTAATTTTTCTCATAGACTTTGTACACAGCTTTCTCCACAAGTCTGTCCCTATACAACACTGATATATCTTACTGAGTAGTTCTGAACTTCGGCTGAGAATTACTATGAGAAGGAAAAAGAAATCGTGTTTTTTTACGCCTGTCATTTGATTGAAAATATTCCCAAGAGTCAGAATATCAAGTAATATTTTATAAAAATGTTTCAGTTTAAAGGCAAATCACGTATTTAAAGGTGCAGTTTTTCTGCTGTGGGATTTTTAACCCATTGACTTTGTACACCTTTTTAAGCCACCATTTTCATAACTTGACGATCTGGAATCGTCATCAAAGTTACAGCCAAGGAAGACCCTCATACAAAAATAAAGCCAAGACTATGACGTCACGATGACGTCATCACCTAATTTTTTTATTGAATTTTGAAAATTTACGTACATATTGTGAAGTCTTATGTCTACAGAAATGTAAGTCCGATTGGGTTGAAACTTGGTATGTGGCTATACCAGGATGTGTTATAGATTAAAAATGAGGTGACGTCATGATGACGTCATTTTGAGATTTTATATAAATATTTGATTTTTTTTTTACCTTTTAGCCATATCTCCCGAACGCAACATGCAAAATGCAAAATTCTTTTTTGCATTTGGTCTGTTATGTAATAGCTATTCGCAAAAAACGTGGAAAATGTGTGACGTCATCAAAATGCGATTTTTCAAAACTCATTTAAGGAAAGGTCCAATTGTCATGAAACCTGGTGGGTAGGTAGTTAATCATACTAGTATGCAAAGTTCGAAGTGACGTCACGATGACGTCATCAAAAAAATTTAAAGATATTTGTCGATTTTCAAAGTGCGTTTTCGACTCTGCCCCAGTAATTTATTTAGATCACTCTTTGTCCAAGCAAAGACCTTGTACACACGCACATACATCGTATTGCCGAGGTCAAATCCTGTCCACAGTGACCGTTTTAGCCGATTTTCGGCTAACTTTGACAGATTTTATGTTCATGCAAATTCAGGGCATATTATTGATTAAAAAAAATCATAATGCGGAAAAGCCCTATGTTCTGTTGCAAACAGACATAGACCTCTAGTTTCTTTTTTTTTTGCTTCTCCTTTTTCAGACTTTTTCTCCATAGGTTTTGCACACGTTTCTTCTACCCATACACTTTGGCACTTTCGTAAATCTGATCAACTTCTGACTTGGCACACACTCAGACCACCACCCACAGATGGTCCTAGATGAAATTCCTGATCGTGACGTCATCAGGTGTCGGGTTACGTCACATTAAAGATGCATTTTTCCCCATATGTTTTGTACACGTTTTGAAACACTCCACTTTGGGCATTTTCGTAAATCCGATCGACTTCAGACTTGGTACATAATTAGATCACTACCCACAAATGGTCCTAGAAGAAATTCGCCATCGTGACGTCATCAAGTGTCGGGTTACGTAACATTTAAGGTGCATTTTTACTCCATAGGTTTTGTACACGTTTTCCTTCAATCAGTACATTTTGGCACTTTCATAGATCTGATTGACTTCAGACTTGGCAGACACGCATATCACCAAGCGCAGATGGTCCTTTAAGGTTTTCGTCATGTTGACGTCATCAGGTGTCATGTGAGGGCGCCCTAACTTTGCATTTGTTGCAGCCCTGTAACTTTGCAAGTATGGGTCCGATTTCGTTGAAACTTTGCATGCCCTCACATTGGGGTGTGTTTCATGTACGTAGCAATATAGGTGACATCATCGCAACGTCATTAGCTGTCATGTGAGGGCGCCCTAACGTTGCATAATTTCCATATCCTCACGAGTATGCATCCGATTTGGTTGAAGCTTTGCATTCACACAAACTTGAATCCGTTATACATCAGAATATAGGTTAAGTCAAGGTGACGTCTTCGGTCGTCATGTGAGGGCGCCCTAACATAGCATCATTTGCAGCCCTATATCTTTGTAAGCATGGGTCCCATTGCGTTGAAACTTTGAATGCCCTCATATTGGGAAGTGTTAATGTGAAAATATCGGTGGCGACAGTATCACTTCTGTGGTCGTCATGTGAGGGCGCCCTAACCTTGCATCTTTTAAAGCCCTTTATCTCCGCAACTATTCGTCCGATTCAGTTTAAACTTTGCATGCACTAATAGTCGTCATAATCTCATGTCCTTGTCAAATATTGTTACCAGTCGAAACAGCTTGTGTTTGTCCACAAACACATTTCTAGTTTTTTTTCTTTTTTCTTTTTTTTTTTTTCTTCTCCTTTTTCAGACTTTTTCTCCATAGGTTTAACACACGTTTCTTCTGGCAGTCCACTTTGCCACTTTTATAAATCCGATTGAATTTAGACTTGGTACATACTGAAACCACCACCCACAGATGGTCCTAGAAGAAATTTGTGATCGTGACGTCATCAGGTGTCAGGTCACGTGACATTAAAGATGCATTTTTCCCCATATGTTTTGTACACGTTTTAAAACACTCCAGTTTGGCATCTTCGTAAATCCGATCGACTTTAAACTTAATTCATAATTAGACCACCACCAACAGATGGTCCTAGAAGAAATTCGTGATCGTGACGTCATCAAGAGTCAGGTTACGTCACATTTAAGATGCGTTTTCCCCATAGGGTTTGTACATGTTTTAAAACGCTCCACTTTTTGGCACTTTCGTAAATCTGATCGACGTTACACTTGGTACACACTTAGACCATCACCCACAGATGGTCCAAGAAGAAATTCGTGATTGTGACGTCATCAGGTGTCACGTTACTTTACATTAAAGATCCGCATTTTGCCCATAGGTTTTGTACACGTTTTAAAACGATCCACTGTTTGGCACTTTCGTAAATTTGATCGACTTTATACTTGGTACACACTTAGACCACCACCCACAGATGTTCCAAGAAGAAATTTATGATCGTGGCGTCATCAGGTGTTGGGTTACGTCACATTTAAGATGCGTTTTTCCCCATATGTTTTGTACACGTTTTAAAACACTCCACTTTGGCACCTTCGTAAATCCGATCGACCTCAGACTTGATACATACTTAGACCACCACCCACAGATGGTCCTAGAAGAAATTCATGATCGTGACGTCATCAGGTGTTTAGTTACATCACATTAAAGATGCATTTTTCCCCATAGGGTTTGTACACGTTTTAAAACACACTACTTTGGCACTTTTGTAAATTATGCGATCGACGTTAGACCTGGTACACACTTAGACTACCACCCACAGATAATCCTAGTTGGCTTTTCCGCAAAAAAGCGGAAAAGCCTTTCTTTTTGTTCTCATTTTTTTGGCTTTTCCGCAAAGTTGCGGAAAAGCCTTTGTTTTTGTTCTCATTTTTTTTTTTTTTTTTTTTTTTTTTTTTGGCTTCTTCTTTTTGTCGCCTAAATCCCATAGACTTTGTGCATGTTTTTTCTCAACGCCACTTTTGGCATTAATCTTTGTCATATATCATTCAAAGTTAGCATAAGCATAGTCCCTATAGCAAAGATGTGTCCCGAAGATTGACGTCATGGTGACGTCATCGAGTAATTTATTATAGATTTTTGAATATTTAATTTTTCCCATAGACTTTGTACACAGAAATTTAAAAAAAATTGTCGATTTGCAAAGGGCATTTTTGACTCTTTACCAGTAATTCATTTACACCAATCTTTGTCTAAGCAAAGACCTTAATTTAAACAACATTGTGTAATGATGACGTCATGATGACGTCATCAGGTGTGTATTTATAGGCAATTAAATTGTGACACTTTTAATATTCAAAAATGCATAAGAAATCAACCGTACGCGTCCGCAGCATTTTGTTGCCGGCAAGTGGTAGAATAGGTTGAGGTCTTTATTTCATTCAGTGTGCGTGAAATCACGTGACCCTTGGTTCCGGTCGAAAAAAGGCCAAAACCGGAAGTGGCTTATCATTTGAAAGTGGTAATAGATATAAACTTGCTTTTAACGGTGTTAGTCTCTTGGCCAATAGTATTCTTCAAATCATCTACCGATGACGTCATGCAATCTTCGAGCGCCCTCTAGCGACAGGTTGAAAATTAGCAAAAATGTATTTTGAATAGATGTCTGTGGCGAAGTTTGTCGTAATCGCCTAAATATTGGTGTATATGATGACCTTGACCCACTTAAGACGTGTTCGAAGTTTTAGGCGTATGACGTCATCAGAGCGGAAATACCGTTGAAAAGACCTTTCCTTTGTCAAAAATTGCTAACAAATCAATCTGTACAGATATAATCTTGAATTGCCCATTAAATGATAGCGTAAACATTTGCCTCAACAGTGCCAAGTTCCCAGCTTGTCAAAATGTTCACACAGTTGACGCGGCGTGCGCAAAAAAAATACCCTTGCGCAAGTTGCGGCAGAGCGCTTTAAAACATGCACAGGACTTCCACAATGTATAGCTCGTACATGTGGCTTTGAAACGTACAATACGCCCCTTCATTCTCGCCAAAAGAGGGCAGTACATAGTTTTAACGGTTGTACGGGTGTACCATGGGGCGCACAGGAACGGTTGTACGGGCGCACCATGGGGCGCACAGGCTTGTATAGGCTGTGCAAGGCAGCGTAACGAGTGGCACATGCGATATATGCACAGAGCCTGATCTAATTATCCCAAATGATAGCGCGTTACAAAAAAATGCGGCACACCGTATAAAGTGAATGGCGCCCCCATTCGCCTGTAGTAACTTTATCTAATTATTCTAAATGATACCGCGTTACAAAAAAATGTGGCACACCGTATTAAGTGAATGGCGCCCCCAAAATATATTCAATTAAAAAAACCTAACACTCCAACCCCCCCCCCCCCCGACAAAAGAAACAATCACTTCAAAAAAATCGAAGTCAAATTTGACTAATTTTTTTGCAAAGTATTTTATTGAAGAACAGGCTTGGTTGACGACTTGTTGGTTGGTACATTGTAAATGGTAAATACATGTATGTAACAATGGCAATTGACCAAAATACCAATTATTAAAATGTCTACATGATAGATGTCGCCTTTTTTAGTACATGTACTATCAAAATGCTTGACAATGAAAATATAGCTAATTTCTTAACACTTCAGAAACGGTGGAAAAGACAATTTCATCTAAAAGTAAGATAAGTGCATACATGTACAAACTGTCTCTGATAAATGTTACAGGGCGTTTATAAAGTGTTCTGATGGATTAGATGAAGACTACACATTTACAGCTAAAATATTGAAGAGGGAAAACTGTTCCCCAAAACATACTCTAGAATGCAGAAAAACCTTCAGATCTTTAAAGCACGTCTCCACACGTACACGTCTGGGGCATGCCACAAGAAATTATCTCAGTACATAAACACAGCTTAATAAGCCCCCCCCCCCCATTTTAACAATCAAACTAAAACTGAATGTGTTCATACAAACATAAAGATGAGCAGTTGTACACTGCCAGTGGTATTTGACACGTAGCATGTACTTGTATTATGATAAATACAAATTGAACATAATTATGTTCCACAACTCTGATATATTTTAGTTGCTTTCTGCACCAGTTGAGGAACTGGGAGATAACAGTTTTACCGTTCAGGTACCAAACAACGGATTTAACATAAACATGCATGCAACAAGCTCTTCCAGTGCATGATTCATTCCAGACTCACTTTTATCCAAAGCACTGTATTTAGTGATAGGATTGTGATCACTGTTGCTTTGGACATAGTTTCCTAGAAAGAGTCTCGATGTACATTTCACGCTTCTTGGAAGTCCCAGCATACACAAAGGTTGTTAGGTTGAACCATATGACAATTAGGCCTCACAATGGTGGCTGAGAGCGTAGAATTACAGAGTAATTTCATCTTGTATGACATAAGGCTGAATGTTGCTAACAGAGTGATAGTAGATAGGCTGGCACTGCTTCATTTCATCTGCTAGAGAGTCAGCATCTTTCCCTGAATACAATAAAATAGGAAGAGGTTTATAAGAAACAAAAACTTGTACAAAATTATGTCTCGTACAATTTTGCCACCTGGCTTTACTTTTGCACAATGCCAAACAAATAGTGGACACACTCAATTTTAAGCTACCAGTTGCATTCAAGGTGCACTATTTGCAGATATGGACATGTAGATGCCCTTCCAAGTGTCTCATTTGAGGACAATTCAAATCGTCAATAGCATATTCTGCATCATTTGCCTTTCACCTCAAATTTGAGGTAAATATGTCAGACTGCACTTGTCCACGCGTATTTCTGATGAGCAAAGTCTGAACATTGTCCAAAGTTTGAAACTAGAGTAGGCTTTAGAAAACCATCCACATATATGTAAGGTCTGACTTGAGACAACATATACGTGGACAATGTTAAGATCATCACCAGGGAGCACCAGCTCTAGAAATTCAAAATATGTGCAGTGGAAAAAATCCACATGCACTGCCATCAGATGAACAGAGATGGAGGATACAAGCTACATGTAGCCCACGTGTAAAACTGCTGACTGTTGTTTGACTAAGTATGACAACATGACAGGTCACATGACCGCCTCAGCAACGTCATGTGATTGTTGGACGGTCCTCATACAACCTTTGTGATGTATCAAATCCCAATAAGGTACTTTTCCAATTATTTGCTTCAATAATGGTAATGGAAACACAGTTTCATAATCAATCTTACTCACCTGAACCATGTTCAAATACTGGCATACAGAGTGATGCTGTTAGAAAGCACACTGGCAACTGGCAGGAAACATGTGGATTTGTAGTTGATGACTTCTACAGAAAGTGGATACAAGAGAATGACATGTGTGAGGATCTATTAGCTCCAGTACTCATACACACCAAACACAAACCAGCATGTCTTAATTTGAAGAGCACTTGTACACCACTGACAAAACCTTCGAAAAACCAGAAAATCTTACAATCTCACTCACCTGAACCACATTCAAATACTGGCATACAGAGTGATGCTGTTGGAGAGCACACTGGCAACTGGCAGGAAACATGTGGATTTGTAGTTGATGACTTCTACAGAAAGTGCATACAAGAGAATAACATGTGTGAGGATATACTAGCTCCAGTACAGCGCTCAAACAAACCAAACACACCAAACACAAATAAGGAAATGTCAAGTTGAAGAATACATGTGTACTTGAACACCACCAACCAACCGACCTCTGCCCCCCCCCCCCCAAAGAAAACCAGAAAATCTGACAATTTGACTCACCTGAACCATGTTCAAATACTGGCATACGGAGTGATGCTGTTGGAAAGCACACTGGCAACTACATGAAAGCTCAACTAATCTGGTCTCTATGTTCTCTTAGATTTCTACTTTGACCTCAGCAAAATATATTATTTAACAGAATTACGTTAATACATATACCTTTATGTATGCACATAAAGGATATTTAGCCAGTGATCATCCCTCCATGAACAAATGTCATAAACAAAAAAAATATTTAGGCAGATTGAGGCTGTATTCAATTTGTACACTGTGGCAATTAGAATATTTTGAACAATTTGAGGATGCAACCAAACTTTTTTAAAGGGCCTTCACAGTTTGGGTTAATCATGATGAAACAGATTCATACATTTTACGAGAATAGATATTCACTTGATCACTAACTTCTATAATGTCCAAAATGTTGCCAACATCATGCAACTGTGAAATACATGTACAATTTAAGTTTACACTAGTGTACTTCACATTGACAGTTTCAATGTTATAGGTTTCAGAATGTCCTCAATAAAAGTATTCAAATTATATTCTTATGGAAACTGCTTCATGATAACTGTAGTATGTTGGAATCACTGCAGCATCTACAGTATCCATATTTCTGATGTATACGTGGTCAATCAATGTGCCATTTTCTGTAGTTTCATCATGAACACACTGTCTATAACCATTATCTTGCATTAACTTTTCAATCCTTGAACAGTGTTTCAGAATGTCTTCATTAAAATCACCCATTACAATGCACCTATTGGACACTTTATGAAGTTCACTCAGCAAAATTTTAAGATAGCCAAGAAATTCATCCATTGAATATGAAGCAGGACGATAAATTACTGCCACACAGTATGACATCTGACTAATTATCTGAAATGCAATATGCTCTAGATTCTGAACAGGAAGAGTCAATCTGCTAAATGTTCTGTTCCTTCTACCATATACTGCTACACCTCCATGACACTGCTGCTTCAACATGTGTGTTACTGTACTTGAATTATCATATGACGCACTTCTGATCTGATGATAGCATTTGAATTCAGTTAATTCTATATCAGAGTATTCCTCATTATCGATCCATGTCTCAGTAAGACAAATAAAATCAGATTTCATCATTTTATTATTACATTTTAGGTCCATTTGATGTTCCTTTAATCCTTGAATGTTATGCATCATGATAACAGTCTTGTCAGATTTCACTTCCCTTGCACATTCTTCAGCATCAGTAAATTCTGGCATACTTTTCAATGATTCCGAAACTGCCTTGTTACAGTAGATATATTTTTCATCAAATCCTTGAATCACAAGTCCATGCATTGATGTGACTCTGCTCAGTGCAACATAGGCTTGTCCAGGTGAAAAAGTATGTTGAAGTGAAACAACTGCTCTATCTGTTGTCATTCCTTGCACTTTGTGAACTGTGCATGCCCAGGCTAATTTTAAGGGGAACTGCTGTCGAACACACTGCTTACTGACATTTTCTTCTTCCTTTTGAATTGGAACTGTGTCTTCTTTACTTGATGATTTGTATTTTCTTTTGAACTTCAATCCAACATCCTTATTATCAAACTGAACTTCAATGCACTTTGGCCAAGATTTATCAGGCAACATAATAATGTCACGTACAGTGCCAAAGACTCCATTCACAAGTCCATCTGATACATCAATATTCTTAGTTAACATAACTCTAGCACCGACACCTAACCACAACGATTCAGGCAAGCTTGTGTATGTTGATTTCTTAGGAACTTTTACCCTTCTTTTCTGACTACCTTTACTAGCATCTTTTTGTAAATCCTTAGCAATAATCAATATACAATCAGTACAAGTTGCCAAGAGTGTTTGCGTATTGTATTCATCGACTTGTTTGTTACATGGGTGGATATGTAACGCATCATTCCAATCTTCTCCAGTTTCACAGGATTTCAACAATGTTACATCTTCTTTTGATAACTTGTCCTTTTTTGTTTTGACTCGTAACCTATTCAGTGCTCTTGCAAACTCTACATCATCTTTTTGTCGCATGATTTCATTAAGTTCTACTTTCTGGAAAATATCATTCCATAGATCAACTGGGAGTGCTCTCTGATACAATGCTTTTCCTTTGACTGGAGGTAGCTGATAAAAATCTCCAACAGCTAAAATACTGATGTTACCGAAAGGATTATGACTGCGTGTTTGTTTCATCTGACGCAAACGTCCATGTATATAGCACAAAATCTTGTGATCAACCATCGATATTTCATCTATAATCAAAATTTGAAGATCTTGTAACACATTCCTCAGCGTATTCAATTTCTCTTCTCCAAGTGGTTGATATGGTAATCTCGCATCAACCGGGATTGAAAGAGCACTGTGAATTGTACTACCATTGACATTAAATGCAGCAACTCCTGTAGGCGCAACTATCAACACTGACATATTCTCAGGATTTTGAACCATTCTCGCAAAAAGTCTTGTTGCTTCATAATGAATTGACTTTATCAAGTGGCTTTTCCCAGTTCCAGCTCCACCGGTCACAAACACATGAAATGGTTCAGGATTTTTCCCATTGATCTTCTTCAAGCACCAGTTACGGATCTTATTAAACACTTGTCTCTGCTGTTCGTTCAATGACCTTAATAAATTGAGTGCTTCTTGATTTGATATTTTTGCTGGATGTGGTTCAATGCTACAAATTTTTTCTACTGTTTCATCGGCTTGCAAATCAGGAATATAAAATTCATTCTCTTCTTCTATAATTGGTTCACGTTCTGCTTCACACTCAAGTCTCTCTTGCTCAGACTTAGGACAAATCAGAGCCCATGCATCTCCTTGAAGACCAAATTTCTTCACATACTGTTCTGCTGCTTCAAGAGACTCAGCATTTGCTTCATATATGGAGCGGTTACTTTCAACAATGCACCTCACAGGTTTCAGTTTATCATTTAGACATACAGCACCATTTTTATAGAATTGTTCAAATGTTTCAAACTGAGGTGGTTTCAAATGTGCATCTACACAATACGGAAGAAACAGCTGCAATATACTGTGGTAATGTTTCTCACGATATTTATTCTCTGAAAATCTAGGGTATCTTATGACTGCGGGTTCAGTTTTACTACGCTTCTGTATGTGACCCAAACCATCTTTAAGTTCATACACTGATGATTTAGTTTTCTTGTTAGTGTTTCCATTATATATTACCCTGTATTCTGAGCAAAATTTAGCAAGACACATGTCATTAAATTTATCAAGATCTGGTCTTGCTTTGTAGCGATCAACTCTATTAGCCATGAATATATCACTGTCATCATCTTCAGACCTACTCTGAATTACACTTAGTGGTAAGCTCATTCGGACAGGATTCTCGCCAACAGGAATGAATTCTACTTTTCTTGAACCCTCTTTCAATCTGAGACCACATACTCGAAACACTGCTTCCTGAGCTGATACTTCACGATTATGCAGATATACACAACCAAGTTCCTTCATACTTTGTCTAGCATCCAAATTACCCTTCAAAGCTTCTTTCTGTGTATTTGCTAATAACTGTCCCATTTCACGTTCAGATTTAGACATATATGACACAACATAAGCTGCACATGCATATGCATCGGTGATATACTGGATATCCATGTTAGCATTCCAACATCTAATCAAAGCAGGATTGTACAAATTTACCCATACATCTTGTGGTTCTCTCTTTATGACAATAGTAGGTTTCTTGCTCAATGTATTGTTCGCCTTTTCAAAATCATCCTGTGTAATATTAACTCTTTCAAATAACTGTATAGTTGACAAATTCTGGTTTTCCTCATTCTGTATTGCATCCCAAACTGACTTCAACAATTCCTTGGCATCACTATGCTTCTTGCTACCACATTGCTGATTTCTGTGATTATCATCACCGTCATCACTATCATCCCCTCCACACTCATCGTTATCATCATCACCATCAGTATAATTGTCATCGTGGTCATCATCATCATCCATGGGATCTGGCTCAGTAATGAAGGTTCTACTGGACGGTGGTCTTGGAAAATTAAATCTACACTCAGTTCCTTTCTTTTTACATGACTTGGAATGCTTCTTGCTATGTAGCTGCACGTGGCTCACTATGTCATTCAGCTCTGAATCCTCGTCCTTGGATGGCAATTTGCAACTGATATATGAATCAATGAATTGAATAACTTCTAAATCACTATCATATCCCAATCTTGGAGCATTCTCAATCCAAAATAGACAGTGGGTATGTGGACTTCCTCTTTGCTGAAATTCAACTCTATAAAAATAATCCTTCACTTTGCCAATAGGCTGAGCTCTGGACAAAATAACATCTTTCAAGAATGAATGGAATCTCTTGTCAAACATTCTAGCTGCAGTAACAGGATTACTTCGCAATATTTTACATTTCTCATTCCAATCCAAATCCTCAATATCTCTAGGATCACCTTGCTGTCTCAATATCGTGTTAATGATTTCAGGCCATCTCATATCAGCAGCTGAAAATGAGCAAAACCATGTTGGTATTCCAAGTTGTCTAATCATAGCCATGACATCTTTCTGAGCTGCTTGCCAGTATGGGGGTGTGCCTCTGATTGGTTTCAAAAACCTATAACCACTATCAGACTGTAAAATTTCTCTCAGTTGATCTCTATCATTAATCATGCTAGCATTTACCCTTTCAGCACTATGTATACTGCCTGAACTCTGACGCATTGCAATTGATACTTTTGACATTACTTGTTGTATTTCTGACAGGTATTGAGCATAGAAGATATACTGAGTACACTTTGCAAATCTATTATTTGCATTCATCAACCTGTTATGAAAATATCTGCAGAGACTTAACTTCACATCATGATCATCACTAAAAATAGGGGTGCCTGTTGGAAATAATGCTGGGAAACATTTGGCCTCATTACCTTCTTCCATTAATACTCTGACTGGACTATTTCCTTCACAAGGTGCAACACACATGACATCATCAAAATATTGATCCAAAGCATCTTGGGCAATGTTCACTGGCTGCAAACATGTATCGTAAACAATGCCTGTCAAACGTTCTTCATCTGTATCCACATCTGTGTCTTCATCACTCTCATTTGAAATATCAGATTCATGCCCTTCTTGGTTTTCATATTCATCTTCCAAGGGATTGTCCCATTCACAATTTATCTCAATGTCCTTGTACCACACATTATGCTCCTTAAGATACTGTAGTGCACGTTCAACATGTTCTCTACTTACAAATTGGTACTGGTAATATCCTTTGAATGACAATTTCCTCTTCAACTTAACCCTGATTAACTCATTATTATTAGCACATCTAGGCAATGCTTTTACAGTTTCTGAAATATTTGAAGGTACACAAACAACTGGGCCATGCACTGCATTCTGACCACCTCTGGGTAATGCCATCATCTTCATAAACGCTACATTAATTGCAATCAGATGCTCCTCCAATATATTTAAGCAACTCAATTCTTCTGGGATATCTTCCAATGCCAAATTGTTTGCACAAGCTTCTGCTGGGGTCCTGTTCTGAAGCAACTTCCTGTGACATGTATAGCAAATCCACAAACATGATCTACTTGATTGTGCCACACGACACTTATCACCACAATTTTCATTGTTGGCACACTTATGCAGATATTTATGAGATATGCAATCGCCACTTCTGTATTTATTTTGATTACACTTCACCACCTGCTTTCGAAAAAGGAGTTTGTGACAAACTGCACATATGTATTCAGGTCCTGATGATACATCTTGCCTCCAATTTCTCATTACATTGCTCATAATACGTTGACTTACTCTCTTTCTTTTTTGTCGTTCATCATTCCTTCGCTTCATATTCTCACGATAACACTGATCTCTGTGGTATTTTGCTTTCTGAAAATTTATCAATTTCATCCTATATAATTTGTTCAAATAATACTTCTTTTTAATCGATTTAATAAGAGCATTTTTATATGATAAATCACCATGGTACTTCTTTTTCACAGATTTAATAAGGGCATTTCTATAAGATGAATCACTATGATACTTGTTTTTCACAGATTTAATAAGGGCATTTCTATAAGATGAATCACTATGATACTTGTTTTTCATAGATTTAATAAGAGCATTTCTATAAGATGAATCACTATGATACTTGTTTTTCATAGATTTAATAAGAGCATTTCTATAAGATGAATCACTATGATACTTGGTTTTCATAGATTTAATAAGAGCATTTCTATAAGATAAATCACTATGATACTTGTTTTTCATAGATTTAATAAGAGCATTTCTATAAGATGAATCACTATGGTACTTGTTTTTCATAGATTTGATATGAGCATTTTTATATGATAAATCAAAATGGTATTTTCTCTTTTTGTATATTTTGGCACTTTTTTTCTTCGTTTGCCTATGTTCTGCATCTCTGTCATACTTCAATTTTTCACAGCCATTTTTTTTACTCCTATAATCAGCATTCTCATGGTATCGTTTCCTCATGACCTCAGTAATATTTGCCACATTTTCTTTGTATCTCTTTTTGCCATACTCAATAGCACGTTGTCTGTATTGCACACAACTATGATATTTTTCTTTCTTTGCACATTTTTTCTTCGCTTTGACACTTACAGCATCCTTCTTATTTTGTTTATCTTTCTTTCTCTGATATCTTTCTCTTTGCTGGTCCCTCTGAGATTTTTGCTTCTTCCTTACATTAACACGTTTGCGTCTCTTTGATCTTTTCAACACTCGTGTTTTTGATGTATTGACATCATGCTCCTGAATGTAGTCTCGTACCTTTCTTCTGGACCCATGTACACTTGTCACTAAATCATAATGTACCTGATTCTTGTGGTGCAAATAAATTCCTGACTGCACTGAATTGTCACTACTACTGTCTGTATATGTATATCTGTTTGAGAATAAATACCACTTATTAGCGTCATCATACGTGTAAATACCGACATCCAACATGTGTGCTGTTACAATGATTTCCACCTCAGTAGCCCATGTTCCATTATTATACATTCTTGCATTTGCGACGTACTCTTGCACTGTCCTGTAACCTTCACGTAAATAGCACCTAAACTGAGCAGCATTTTGCAACAAGTGATGAACAATTGCCATTCTGAGTTGCATGTGATTATTTTCAGTTCCTGAAATAGCATATGAAATAGCTCTGTAGAAACAGTTACCGTCACCTTGAATTTTCTTTATAGCATCAGGTTTTGTCAACTTCTCACATTTCACAGGAATTTCATGACCATCTAGACAAATTTTTGTCACACCTATTTTCTCACACAATACAATCTTATGGTCATAAGACAAGGGAACAAATTTTAAATTGTCAGGTTGATTAGCTTGTATGATTTCTATGTCATGTTCACTGTGTTTCTTTATCTGTGTCATACTACTGGAGCTACCATTGAGAGTCTCATCACAACCACAGATACTGAGATCATCATCTACCCAGACAGTAACACCTGTAATTTCAAACTGTTCATGACCACTGACATTCATAGATTGTCCAAGTTCAGTACAATACCTGTACACACCTTGCCATGATGATACACATTTCATCAAACTTCTTCCTTCACTGTTCTGATGTCCATACTGATTTCTAGAATGTGAATCAAAAATATAATACATTCCATCTTGAGCAATTACTGAAAATGTGTTCCCTTTGAAACAGATAAAACAGGCACAGTATTTCTGAATTGTCTGCTCTACTGCCCTACTCAATGGAATCATATTGAACTCAGTCAGATGTCCTTCTTCTGCAAAAGTGCCAGAAACAGATTCAGCAATCTTCACGTGAAAACATTTACCAAACGCATCAATCTTATCAGGCAACTCACTGATTAACAAATATTCATTCATCATTGTAGAGCTTCGAGACAAACAACTGTACAATTCATTGCCAGTGTTCAACACAAAATCCATGTCTTTGCAACTCCACGTATTCAACAGCTTATTTCGGCTAAAGAGGATTCCACACAGGCTCATACAAACACATTGTCTTCCAGCCAGTTCTGCAAATCTGAGATCACCTTGATGGAAAGTACCTTGAATACATCTCATCTCTTTAGTCTCATTTATGTTGTCATTGTCTTTGCAACTGTTTTTAGAACAACTCCATATTTTGGTTTCATCATTAGATTTATGCTTTTCCGGTGATTTACCTCTCTGTGGAATGACTCGGGGCTTTTTCTTCTCAGTACCTTTTCCAAAATCTTCCACACCATCTCCAGCTTTTCTTTTGGATTTCATATTCTCATCACTCTCCTTTTCATTTTCTACCAACACTTGCTCTTTCCTGTTTCGAAGACTGTATCTAGTAATAAGTTTTCTTTCTGAGACTGCTTCATTTATACTTGTGTCATTATGCTCTCCATCTTTCTTAGCAGACTGACCTCTTGTTGTCTTTGCTTTGTTTTGACTTTCCTCTGTCTTTTTCTTTCCACTACTAGAACTACTCTCAACATTGGTACTCTTCTTGCTCCGCAACGAATAACCTCCAGTCTGCCTAACTACATGTATGCATTGTCTTTCAACTGTATTTAAACACGTATCTCTGCAGGCTATTACATGCTTGATTTTGCCAGTACCTGTTTGTTTCTCACCTTCGTTTCCATTCACTGTTAAAACTTGAATGTAATCTTCTGTGCAAGGAACACCTTCACTGCATGACTCAACAGATGCTTCCTCCATGTACACTTCAGATGATGGCATCTCAAATTTGTTCTCATCTGTCGGAATGCCAAGATCATATAACAGAGAGTCACTGTAAGTACATCTTCCACATTTTAGACACAGCCATGATACTGATTTGCTTGCTAGCACAGATTCCATATTTGCAAATCCCATACAACTCACATGATAGCAGATACTGCAGGTATCACATTCCACAACTTGTTCAACTGTACTAGTTACTTGATCACATAACCAACACTGCACAGGCTCTGTTTCCTTCAAGCTATGGTTCATTTTCTTAATCTTTCTCTTCTCAACACGACACCTCTTGCTCAACCTCTTGCTTGTACCATTCTGTCTTACTCCATTTGAAAATTTACTCCTGTTCTTCAATGAAACCTGCTCTTCGTGCTCATTTTTGCTTGATTTCTTGTCTTTGCATAGTTCTTTCTTATTGTGCATCTTCTTGATGACATATGTCAGACTTCTCCTTGTATGTCTCTGAATATTCTTCCGTGCTCTTTCATGGCTTTTTCTCTCTTCCTTACTCATACGTAATTCAATGACCTTGCCATTCCTCAACCTATTGAATGCTTGTCTTCGTTCATGTCTTCTGATTTTCTTCCTGTTTGGTTTTGAAACATTTCTTTCCTCTCTATGATATTCTACAACACACTCCAATACCTGATGTCTGCTACAACATGTCAGTCCACTAACCTTCAACCTTCTCACTGCTTTCAGAATACTTCTTGTGTTCTTCCGCATTCTCTGCTTCTTCAGCTCAACATCATTTCCTCTCTGTGAAAGATCATATGCACAATAACTATGGTCATAACTTCTGTCTGTATAAGAGTTTCCATGACATGAACTTTCATGACTAGAAGTTTCAGGAGTAGAAATTTCAGAACTGCACATTTCAGGAGTGCATGTTTCGGGGGGACAACTGTCATGAGTGCAAGTTTCAGGAGGGTACGTATCAGGAGCATAAGTTTCAGGAGCGTACATTTCAGGAGCGTCAAGTATCTGAGCATGAGGTATCTGAGGTATCTGAGCATGAGGTATCTGTGCATCTTTTCTCTCTGAAAGCCAACGGCTATCGTTGCCATCACTCTCATGTGATGACTCGGTCATCGGCCACGCCTGCTCCAGACCATCTTCAGATGGCCTTAGAGACAGACTTCTCTGGGGAGGTGCCAACCCCAGAGCATTCCCATGTCCAGTTTCTTTAGGACAGGGCTTTATGTTCGCCTGGGCCAAGCCTTGGTTCGTAGGCCTGGCAAGCAGACTTCCCTGAGAAAGTGCTTTTCTCAGGGCAGAGGAATGATACGTACATGTACATCTCTTGGCATTCAACGTTTTCTCGGTATGGACCACGTAGCTTGGCATCTTCTGTAATGCACACAAAATAAAAATACACATTCAAACAACAAAAAGTAAACATTACAGTATACTCCCGTTAATACAAAGTCTAATTAATCTACCAATAAAATTTTACATTTGTATTAATAACTTGAACATCAATCACTGAAATTCATTGTGCACCAGCACATAGCTGTATGGATGGGACCAAAACTTTTTAATGATGATCACAATGTCAGACAGAGTTTGTTTTAACGGGAGAGGACTGTACATATCACCAAGACACACCTCTAATGAAATTATACTGCCAAAGAATTTGTCACGATAATAGTTTCCCCATCATTATTACCCATAAACATCGATATTCATAAGGCAATCCCACATCAAACTGAGTCTTCTCCAAAAAAGTACAGGTATCAACACCCTCCCACCCACAACCAACTAATACAGTGTTTTGCTCTAAAACGACGAGGTCTACATGTACATAATGTACTTGGTGCAGTACATTATACATGAAATGTGTAGCCTGAATGCCCCATGTTCTCTGCTCATGCATGTATATCACCCAAACAGGGAGTAGGGAAGAGATAATCTCCTTCCGAGAATTTCATTATTACAGAAAGTACATGTTACGGTACATAAAGCATTATGAAGAACTAGCTGTCTTATCCGATGCAAGCACATTCTGAGTCCACATGTCATCATGCATGCAGAATGCTTGACACCTTTTACGATTTAAACAAATTCTGTCCGACGAGACTTTAAAAAATTATCATGCATGTACTGCCAGAAGAAACTTGCCCTTCTCAGCACCCAGTTTGGGCAGTGCAGATTAAAGTGAAACCAGATTCATACATAACGACCATTCATCCACATGTCACTGAACATTGTAATATGAACTACCAATATCATATGAAAGCCTTTATAGATACATGTATACATATACATGTACTATGACCCTAACAAAACAAAACCTATTTCAAACTTTCACAACAATGATGTTGTCAGAATCTTTTTTATAGTTTAACTTACATCGCAATTACATGTAGGACACTTTATTATAAACCTTAATCACATCTGAAAATGATTTATATACATCTATACAAATTACAAATCAATTAAAATACATGTACATTCATTTAACAAAACGAATGCAAATCACTTTCCAAAATAATTGCCACATACAAATGTATCATACATGTGCAGGAAAGAGTTCCATACACGAACAACGCTTATTTTTCCCTTACCCAATAGTGACCGACAAACCATGAAAGACAATGATATGTCCTAAAAAGTCAAATTTAGCAGTGAAAAAAATGAAGAATTTACTTAGAAAACACGTCGAATTTTTCAGAGCAGTCTTATAATGTTTGTGCACAGGGTGTCAAATGTTGTCCGTGTATTGAACTCTTTCCCACGTGCATAATATTTACAAGTCGTCACCATATTTTATGCATACAGCTGCACATCCACATTACGCACTTCTGTAAACAATGTTCTTCTGAATAATAATTTATTTCAATCCTTTCACTCGCATTTCCAAATCTCATTTGACAATTCCATACACAGACAACACTTGACATGCTTGACACCCTGTGCACAAACCCAATGAGACTGCTCTGAAAATGTTGGAAAGAGTTCCATACACAGACAGTTATTTTTCCTAGGCTATAGCGATCTATCAACCTTGACAAGCAATGATGTCCTAATCAGTCAAATTTAGCAGTGAGAAAATTGAAGCATATTTACTGATTAAGCCAGGCCTACTTAAAAAACACTTTAAATTTTTGGCATGTTTGGGAAGAGTTCACATGGCCCAGACAACACTTAAAATTAATAGTGACCTACAAAGTACAAGCCATGAAATGCAATGACATGTCCTTAAAAAAGTCCAATTCAGCAGTGAGAAAATCGAAGCATCTACTTAGAAAACACTTAACTGTCAATTTTTCACAGCACTTTCGTTCATCGTAAAAAATTCATAGGGTTATGTTTTTATGCACGCCATGCCACAAACAACATGCACAGCCTGTCAAGTGGGATACCCCGTGTACGACACTCTTTCCCCCAACGATTTCCTCAAATTATGTTAACCACCCCAAACAAAACATACATCTTCACACTTTTAGGTACACCCAAATGAAAATAGTGGACATTCAATATTGAACTAATCCGACAGACCAACAATTTCTCTGAAGTTTTCTTTGCTTCAGTTTACACAACTCACACTTACGCTGTCTTGCTGAACAATGGCGCGATTAGATGGATCTGCGCTACACACCTGCATATCCCGCATACACTTGCGCAATCCATCGATCCTGTACATTATGTTGACACGATCTGAGCGCGATCTGTCGATACTGCGACCAATCGACCGAGAGCAGAGCGCGATTAAAACATCGCGCATCCTCTTATCCGCCCATCACAAAAACATGGCTCCGCTCCATTCAAAGACATGACACTAATGAGGCGGAAACCAAACTTTTATTCCTACGTAATACGCATGCGTGCAATGCAGTGCTGCTCCAAGTGAGGCCGCTCATCATTATTCTGATGATCATCAGAACTTTTCAGCTCCATCTCATTCCTTGTTTCGACACTTGCACTACCGTGGCCTCACTGCGTGCGCCGCGAGATATTCATTGTTGATTTCGGACGTTCCTGCAGGCCTTCACTTTTTACTAATGCAATAATTTTGTAATACAGTTTATATATTTTTCTTCCTCACATTCCCCCCCCCTTATTTACCGTGCATGAGGGCCCGGCCGGGTGAAAAATCATAAAGAAAGATAAAAACATTTCCTACAATGTTCATGGTAAGTTATTTATTTTATAAGAACTTTCTTTTTGCCGCTTTCATGATAATAAAAACTTAACGAATCTATCATACGAGCCACCCATAAATTTTCAGAATTAATGCTTGGAGTTAAATGTCAAAATTCTGTGTTCGTGTTCTGTGTACCCCACTCTACGGGATAAAACAACAGAATCAAAATCGGTCTACACAAGAAGAATCTGTTTTTGTGAAAAAGAATAAATTTGCATAACTTTGCATAATTAATTAATTTGTACAATCTTTGTAGACTTTTTAAATGCCCCAAATAGCCGTATCAGATAAAACAAACAGAACGAAAATCCAGCAAGAAATAACAACGAAGAAGCATTTTGAAATGTGTTTCATCATCAGGTTTAATTCTGAGGTCTATGATAGTACAAGTTTTGATCGTAGTGTTACAATTAGAGCAGTAGCAAAAGATTTTAATTAAACGAATGATTGTTAACATGCACTTGAATTACACCATAATTACAGATGGAAATTCTGAGAGGGGCAATATTTGTTGTGATTATAACTTGGTGAAATAATTGATAGCTTTTGTTAGGAGTTAGGACATGATCTTGTTCTTGTAAAATTAGGTAGAGTTAATCACAGTATAATTATACCTGGGTTTTACTGGAGAGTAAATAATGCAACGGAGTATCAATATGTGAAGGTAAACTAAACATGTAACATGGTATAAATATAAATTATACAAAAGCAGGGTTGGTAATTTTGTATAAAAATTGAAACAAAAATCTGAAAAATGGGATTGGGTTTGTTTTATTAATGTTTTTGATTGAAATCAGATGCTTTTATGATTGTCACTTTCAAAATAATAACTGTGTCCAAATTTATCTAAATCTCACAATGTACCCTTACAATCATCAACAAGGAGTTTTGAATTTCTTCTAATCATCATCATCTATAAATGTGAATTGAGTCTTTGAAAATTTCTAGAGAAAGTTAAATTAGTAAACCGTTTCATCTTGTTGTAAAATTAAGTAGGTGTAATCACAGTATATATTTGGGTTTAATGAAGAGAACATAATGGAAAGCAGTAACTATGTGAACAAAAGGCAACATGTAAAATGGTTGAAAATATAAATTATACAAAAGCAGCATTGGTAAATAATCACAGTATATATGTGGCTTTTAATAGAGAGTAAATAATGCAACGGAGTATGTGAAGGAAAACTGAACATGTAACATGGTATAAATATGGGGTATACAAAAGCAGGGTTTGCAAACAAAATTTCGTGGTAAATTACTTACTATTAAAAAGTACTATTTTAAGTAAAAAGTTATTGAAATCACTGATTAAAAAAAAATCTTTTGATCAAAATTGCGATGAAATGAGTAATATAAATAAGAGATGAAAATAGGGAACTATTTCTTGCTATTCTCTTGCTGTTGCAGTTTGTTCCTCCTTGGAGATCCCTATGAAACGAAGAGATAAAAATGAATAATAATGAATTATTGTTAATTCAGCATAGAGTTAATTGAGAATAGAGTTGTTGAATGAAAGCATAGTGTGTGTGAATTTATGAATGGTTGTGTGATTTGTACAGGTGTCTCCCTTAGACTCAGACAATTGAATTCAGTAATCATGTGTAGTATGTGTACAATAATTTTATTTCAGTGCATTTTATTTGCCCTTCCTTTAATGTCTATGTAGAGGTAGGATAGCAACAGTGTGTGAAAATAAGTTAGTGTGGTTGATAATAGATTAAGCCAGTCAATGTGAAGGTTTGTTTACTGTTTGTCAGTGCTGAAAGCATATGTGCAAAACCATGTTTCTACTGTACCCTATAGTGCCTGTTGAAAGACTCGCTAACTGCAACTTTTAGTTTTTGGGTTTTAGAAGCATCAATACTTACTGCTTCGTTATTGAAATTAAACAGAAATGCATATTTCTGATTTGTTGTTCACTGTCAAATATTCAACCATTGACGGTTTATTATATAACTGTGTAGTTTCTTTTGAGCCAGGTGTACATGTAGGTCCCCCCCTATATGAATTCCATGCCATGAGGAATAGCGTTTTCTATTTGATGAAAGTTAAGTATCTACTCTTCTTATGTTATTTCTTCAGCCAAGTTTTTGTAAGAATTCAACTTTAGAAACAACTTCAGATAACACAGAGCCCATGTAGACTGGTGAATTTATGGAAATTCATTCAAGTTACACAAAATATTTGATAAATTCGGATTATCATGGAACTAGCTCGGCTTTAATGTTTAATTTCTTGGCTTCTCAGCCAAGTTTATACAGGTCCACGTCTCTGCCAATTCTGACGTTGCTCAATTTCGTTTATGAAAGTACCAAAATGTTAATTAATCGATTGGATTTATGAAAATGCTAAAATGTAGGAGTAGAAAAAACCGAAGACATCAACAAAACCTAGAGAGGTAACACTCAAAAATAGAAGAAAAAACAAGGAATAACAAAAACAAAATTGTGAAAAACAGTAGGTGTTTTCGAAATTGCCAATTCTGACGTTGCTCAATTTCGTTTATGAAAGTACCAAAATGTTAATTAATCGATTGGATTTATGAAAATGCTAAAATGTAGGAGTAGAAAAACCGAAGACATCAACAAAACCTAGAGAGGTAACACTCAAAAAGAGAAGAAAAAACAAGGAATAACAAAAAAAAAAATTGTTATTGATGAAAAACAGTAGGTGTTTTCGAAATTGGAAACACAATCAATAGCTGTTTCAAGCCAAATATTAAAATTACTACCATACTGATGCAAATCTAACAACTAATTTTAACTACTGCCATAAATGCAAACTGTTTTATGCAACATCTTACCGTTCTCAGTCACACTAGTCATCACCATCAAGGACACTGAAAAGAATGGGAACAATGTATTATTATATTCCAGTTTTACAACTATGCTTTGCCTCTGTCTCCCACGGTTGACGTGTGGGCACGTCCATTGTCCACCATCTATTTGTGCACACCGTGTTTTGCACTTGAACTTGGCCACTTTACACGGCCTGTCTTTGTAGCAAATATCACTCCATGGTGGGGTCTAAAATGCCGAAATTGTAATAGCCAAAATTCAATATCAAATCAAGCACCTTCGAATCCTGACTCTTAGAGGCATTTCTACATTAATTGTATGATCGGCGATGAGTATCATACAATTAATGTAGAAATGCCTCTAAGAGTCAGGATTCGCAGGTGCTTGATTTGATATTAAATTTTGCCTATTACATTTTGGCGATTTAATTCTATTAATTTTTCAGCCAAAATAATCCCGACGTCAAGTGGTTAACAGGATTTTTTCCTTGATTTCGCCCTTGCAACCTTAAGCCTTGATTTTCCAAACCCAAATGCAATATTCTCGCAATTAGCAAGAGCACTACACAAATCATATTCTCAATTTATGTAAAGTATTTGTCAGATTATGCCACTGATAAAATTTTCCCAGACATACATTGTAAAACAAGCATGCATTTCCCTGCAATTGGAGAAACATACTGACAATAAAATGCAACAGACTAACCACTTTCTGTTTTGGGCCAATCAAAATCACAGCTAATTTAAAAAAGAATTTCTGTCAAATTCGCTGACATTTCTTTGACAGAAAAAGGAGAAACCCATCTTTAACATTTCACCTTATTGCTTGGGTAACTGACAACCCCCCCCCCCCCCCCCGAAAGAAAAAAAACTGTTTTTGTTCTTGACAATTAACTATTACAAATAATGAACATCTATTTTGGAAAAGAAAATTACCATCACAAAACTTACATACTCCCAACCTCCTTGACCTTCTTTGACAGCTCGCAATAGTTGATGTTCATCACCATCGGCAAGTAATTCTGAAGTTCATCAAGTGATGCATATCCAAGGCCAGTGAGCAACACATGTTTCGCCACTGAGTACTCGGCATCGTGATCCGTCACCAGGTTCAACATGTCACTGTAGTGAAAAATACATAGTTATATGTACTATTGTCTCCTTACTAATAATAAAACACATGTGTACAATTTTTATTTAAAATAAATTTTAAAGACAAATTATAGATATCAGTACAATTTCAAGTACAACATTCTCTAACAATATAAATCATTCAAATCAAAAACATTTAACTACAGAACTAACTTCTAGAAAAAAATCAACCGTATTGAAAACATCCAATTTCTTTGTAAATATCAATCAATAGCTCCAAGTTTGTACAAAATCACTGTATTTTGTGGTTTTTATTTTATTATCTTTCATCACACTCTATACCTAACCATTATTGTACTCCATCTGCCAGTCCACACCATTTTTAGCACATAAATCCACAATTAATTTACAGACATACTTCATATCAACAAATTTGTTCGCAAACGCAATTCTCACTTATTGCAATATTACTTTTCTTTTTCATGATTCTGTAACTGAATTGTTAAAACTGAAAAAAATGTCTTTTAAAGTTCCAAAAAGAAAATATTATTCACAAAGTATGTCATTATAAAACATAATGCTTAAACATACATGTACATGTGTAAACTGTAAGTACATGTGTAATAGGGGCAAATTTCCCTTAAGTTGTTTTTTAGGAGTAGTTCCCCCTGCATACATGTAGTTGTTTTTGCTAGAATGGCCCACCCTAGATTGACCCCTGTACATTTAAGAGTGTTCCCCCCCCCTCAGATTATGTAACACTTAGGAATGTCTCCATCCTAGTGTGCTCTGTGCCCCTGAAGATATAGACCCTCCATTCAGCAAACAGGCAGTGAAGAGGGAGCAAGCCAAAATTTCCCTAGCTGCTAGCCCAACCTGCCTAGATAGGCCAGTCTGCTGGACCACTTTGGTGAGTTTTTCTAAGTTTATTTGGTTGTTTTTGTTTGAAAATCAGTGACATTGATATTTAAGTTGTTCTTTCTTATAATTAGTTTGTTAGTCTCACTTTTTATACTGCTGGTGATGACTTTGCTTTTAGACCATTGCCTTAGACTACTCTCGACTACAAGCGTTTTCTTTTCATTTTAGGATATGTTTTGTATTTTTCTTAGGATTATAATTGTATAAGTTCCTTTTCTATTCATAACATGTTGGAGAAGTGAGGTTTCATTTCCAAAGAGTTTTGGTGACTCCGTGAAATTAGTTCTTTTGATTTACTCTGAAGAATTCATTGATGATTTAGTTTGGAACTTTGAACGTATCCTTGTTTGTTTTTTTTCTTGATAATCTTGTGATTTTATGCGCTATTTTAGAAGAGCGATGTTTTAATTTCTTTACCATTTCACCATGCAAGATTAGGATTAATAGCCCACTTTTATTTTAGGAGAACAGCTTTGCCAGAGATAATGAATAGACTTGTTTCAGTCAAGTATCGTAAACTTAAGTTGATACATGGGCTTGATCTGTTGATTGTATTTAGTTAGACAAATATATGGTGAAGTAGAGTAAGTCATTGATGTATGGAGAGACTAGACCAGTCTAATTGGAAGTTATGTCAACTTGCCTGAGGGAGATCTTGCACTGGACACAAGATGTTCCATGTTACTCTTTGGCCAGTAGTGTGCTAATAGATTTTAGACTTAGACTTTAGTCCTTTCATTATTGCGAACTGATGTGTGAGTTTGATTGTATTCTTTATGCAAGTACTTATGGTGTGTACTTTAACTGTGAAGTGGCTAGTGGCTACTCTAACATCTTGCAGCCTGGGTGGCTGGACTTACCATTGTTTACAGTCTGACCTTGAGGATGGCCATGTGTAGCTTATTAGATATTCACAAGAAAGTTGGGTTGTTTAGCAGTGCCTGGTAGATAAGAGACACTTGCCACATACTTCATGAAGGCCTGCTTGTGTTATTAGAATTTTGTTATCTTGTTTTTAACCAGTATTCTTTTTAGTGTAGCCCAACTTTGTTTGCTTTGTGTATTTTTTTCCCATTCTTAAAAGTATATTCCTTTTATGTAAAACTTGCAGTTAATCGTGGATTAAATAGGTTTTTTGGGGTAAAGTTCCATCCCAATTCAGTCTGTCTCTTTCGCTTTTTTAAAATTTGTCCCACTTTTCTATTAAATTTTTCGCGACTTATCAATTTGAACCAGGCCTTTACAGATATTTTCTTTAGTGAACCGTTTTTCTTCGTTACACATGCACCATCTAAAGTTTCTACATGTTATTTCCCAAGTATTTTTCAATTAATTAATATCTATACCCAATTCAACATGACTTGCCATCACTCACATCACATACATGTATGTCCTACAGGTGATTTTTATATAAATGTTGTTGTTTTTAAAAAATCGCATTTGTTTTATCCATTGTAAAAAAGAAACTTCCATTTGCTCATTCTTGAAGTTACAGCTTCCATACCAACTACATCTATATTTCACATGTTCATATTAAATGTACATAATTTTTTCCCTAAAGAAACAAACTGTTCAACAATTTCATTAATATGAACTTACTCAGAATCTTCGGCAAATCCTTCCAGTGTAATAGACACAGTGTTACTGGATGGAACAAGAGGCTGTAATTTACACCCAAAAAAGGACACACATTATTTCATGTTAAAATGACCTACATATTTTCAAACATTAAACTCAATTTCCTTCAAATCAATTTACACTTGAGTGCAACGCCCTGTATGTCATAGAAAGAAATTTTGTGAGGAAGAATAGAATGATCAAGGGTATCGAATGCCTTCAATAAATCAACAAAAACACAAACGGTGCTCTGTTTGCTATTCATTGCAGTAGTAACTTTATCCATGATTTGTATGAATTGCATGCATCAATTATTCTGGTGACAACAGGGATGGACCCCGATCTGGTGACGATTTTGCCAATTTCCTTCGTGGTCGTAGCATATTAGCTCCAGAACTATGCTGAAGCCGTTGAATGATGGAGTTATTAATGTTAGCTAGCCTCTGTGGGTCGAAACACTGGATTTATGACCTAAATTGATGATCTACAAATGCTTTTATGTGGGAGCACAACATAAAGCTTGTGCTCTGTTCATCAGTCCTCCATGTTGAAGTCCATTAGATTCAACACAATTACAGTTGATGTCAACCAACCTACCTCAACTGTAGTTTGTTGCGTGCTGTTCAAATAGTCCGCATTGTTGTATGTTCTCTTGCACACATTTTTCACAATCACGGCCGACTGCTCTACAGGAATACACTGATCAGCACTCTCGCTCCACAATTTAATGCAGATCTTTTTTGCCTTGTTGTCCAGATCTTGCAGCTGGATCTCCTTTCGCTTGGATGCTGCTGTAGTCTTAATAGGTGAAACCTATAACAAATCACAATATATATCAACAACATCTACTGATAATTGCAAAACTCTATGCCCCTTTTCGATGTTTCTACATGTAACAGACAAAACAAATCTATAAACCTATATCTTTCACAAATTTACAGAACATACTGTAAATGTGCACGGCCACAATCATGACTACACGTAGTTACAAAATGACTTAAAAATATACTCCTAATAAAATAATATTGCATGTGCAACATTTATGCCTTCAGCCATCACAAAAAACATGACAGAGTTACAAAGTGTCTCTTGTGACATTTAGCAACAGACAGAGATGATAGAACCACAAACCCATTGTTCATAACATAGTCTCCTATGTCATATTGATTTAGTGTAAAACTGAAAAGAATTTTGAGACTATTCATTATCCACTTGAAGCTCTAATGATATGATCCAACATGCTGAAGAAAACAATACTTTTGTCCAGACTATGATGAAATCATTTTCATGTCAACACTGTTTTAAATGACAGATTAACAACCAAAGCAGAGCTGTATCTGGCTACATGAACATACACAACTAGTGAATCCTGCTTTATGTAGGCTGGAAATTCCTAACTGTTGAAAACAGCCACCTGATTTATTTCGACTGCAAGCACATCTTGCCACAGAATGTATGTTTGCATAGGAGGGTTAATAATACTTTTTAAATATCCATACATGCATGTAACATTTGAAATCTTATTTTTCTATGTTTTTTAGCCACAAAATTACATTAAGAGAACAATTAGATTATTATTTTTTTTTGGGGGGGGGTTGTAGAAAGCCAACATGTATGCCTAAATTAAACAACTTTTATTTATTGCCACATTATCACCTGTTTTGATAAAAGATCATATATAATTGAATTTCACACTTTTGAAAACAACCACTTTTAGCATTAAAAGTGAACCCAATATTCAACCCGTGCACAATTATGTAATTTCTCAGCAAAACCTTCTCAGCAAAAAGACACACATGTACACATATGACATGTTTTGTACAACAATCACATCAAAAATGCACAAAAACTTGAATGTTCACCCATATGCAACATCCATACATGTACATTATTAAGCATATTAGCTTTAACTTTGTTCCACATATGAAATACAACTTCAGAACAAGACCTGTTTTTTCTTTACTACCTACATACTTAGGGTAGTTCATAAGAGACACAAAAATAACCATGTCACTTAATCTTACTCTCTTGAAAATATTAACACAACAATTTCATGCCAAAGAAAATATACAAATATGCAAATATGCCACTATACAATAAACTTGCTGAATGTTGTTTATCAGACTTCATAACAAAAAACAATATCAGTAAACTGCTTCCACAATATAATTTTTTTAAAAATCAAATAAACTCACATCAACAATCGTGCCTTTCACCGAGCACCTTTCAAACTCCGGTTTGTTACACACTTCTGCAACACCAACAACTGGTGCATTGAAATATGCTCCAAGCACAGCATCATCTATGTCGAAGGCTCCTGATCGGTAAATCTGAAGAAAAACAATAATTGCAAAAATCATTACTTCATTATATAAATGTATCTTTAAAAACATTTTGCAATTTGAAATACATTATATCAATAGTATAAGAACAATTTATTTCAATACAACAAAATGCATGAATAGGTTGAAAGAACATACTATAGGCATAGCACAGTTTAACAACCCTTCTCTCATACACAGAAACAATCTGTTGAAACACTCTCCAAATAATACTTATTTGAAATGTTCTTGCACTCAGACAATGTCCATCCGTTTCCAGCTCATAACACATTACATCGCATTAAAAACAACAAGCATTAAAATAAACCCAAATCACACTGAACAACACCACAACATGATAAAAGATCCCACATACCTTGGAACTTCCTGTCAAACGCACAATATCTTGACCGGTTTCCAACGTCATCATGTTCGCTTTTGTAGCCTTGATAAATTGCCCATTGTGCATCAAGTCCAAATGAGCTGCTATACTGGTGTACAGTGCACGAATGCTGTCTGTGTCTTTAACAACAACATCTGCACACCATGACTGCCCCCTTTTCTCAAAATCACCGAGGATTTTGAAACTCACAGATGTCATCTAAACACAACAGAACCATAACAATGCATTATTAATATACTTTTCTTTTATATACTTCACAAACGGTTCCATACTAGCTGGAATAGTTCCAGCCCTACGGCTCCTGCCTCGCCCTACATGGCGAGGCAGGAGCCGTAGGGCTGGAATTATTCAAGCTAGTTCCATATACCTGCATACACAGACAACACTTGATGCCCTGTGCACAAACCCTATGAAACTGCTCTGAAAAAAATTGTAAGTGTTTTCTAAATAAATGCTTTGATTTGCTCCCTGCTAAATTCATTAACTTCAACTTTTAACACATATCACTGCTTTTCATAGCTTGTACGTCACTAACAAAAAGAAGCATTTTCTATGTATAAAAGTTACACTCCTCCCACTTACTCTTTATGAATTAAAACATGAATATAATCTATTCATACAGATGTAAACCATACCAATTTTATATACTTCATGTAGGCCCTTAGGCATACACTTCAAAATGACTTCCTACCGATATCCAGTCACTTCAGCACCTTGTCAACTCGGTACCCACCAACTCAAAACCTTGCCAACTCGGCACCTTGTCAACTCGGCACCCTGTCAACTCGACACCTGACCGACTCGACACCTGACCTACTCTGATCTGCACCTCCGAATTACATTTACAGTACAGGCACATGAACCTATTCATGCTTGCACCAGACTCTTCTCATTATTTTGGAGACATTTCTTGAGGAAAATAAAATAACATAAGACAATAAATTACCCCCCAAAAAACATTATTATTTTTTTTTACAAATGAGAAATGTGTTTGTCATTTTGTGGACAAACACCAGCTGTTTCGGCTGTTTGAAATGACTCTGCAACTTGTGAGGACATCATCAGAGCCACTCCATCGTCATGACGTTCCCAAATTTCATGTTTGTCAATGTTTGGTTTTTTTTGGTCCTAAAAATAATCCACAATAGGGCCTACATCAAAAGGCAAAATTCAGGTGCCGAGTTGGCTATGTGCCGAGATTGCTATGTGCCGAGTCGTCCAGGTGCCGAGTTGACAAGGTGCCGAGTTGACAAGATGCCAAGTTGGCTAGGTCCCGAAGTAACCGACATCCATATTCCTCCTACCTTGTCCTTGGCTTTGACTTTGTTTGTCCGCTTGACTTGGTTACAGTCCACAGATTTATAACCAGAAAAACTATCACATGAAACAATGTTTTTACATTCACTATAACTTTTGGTTTTCTTGATTTTCTTTAAACGCTACTTTGTGTTCAAACTCTAGTTGAATAAACTTCCAAAATAACTAATATTTGTCCAGACATGTACACAGTTCAACCACTACGCACTAAACATGCTACACAAATCAAATCACGTGCACGTTGATACCTGATGCGCTATGCATGATGGCGCTCCATATATATTTTACAGTGACATTTGTCTTGAGTAGCGCGCTCCCATCCATATCCATCAGTAACCGCTTAGTATTGAAAACAAAGTTGGAAATAAAGTAGGCTCTGGAGCTGAGACGAAGCTGTGAGACGAAGTAACTTGACCATAAAAAGTGAACACCGCCCTCTACACGCAACAGTGAACACCGCCCTCTACACGCACAAACCATCCAAAAATTGTTCAACGTCGACATAACGATCCTCGGCCGGCCATCTTTGATCTGGCATATATGCATAGCACGCGACCCATAGAAAATACACGTACACGTGTGTATGTACTGTAATAATAATAATGCATGTATTTCTATCTTACCATGCATCTTACAGATCTTCTTCTTCTCCTTCCTTACACGTGCAGACTTCATGGCTGAAGATAATCGCACTGCCAGATGATTGATACACACAGTAGCCCAGGTTGGACGTCGTCGCGTTGTACACAACGGAGGAGTCCACTGGGCTAATACACACGGATGATTGATACACAAGGATGATTAGGCCATCGGCCTACCTTCAAATAATTCGGTAACTAGGCCTATTCCTTGTCCGGCAAGTACTCATTTGCTTTCTAACAAGTAGGCCAACCTCAGTAGGCCACATACTTCACCGTACGCATATGTGTACATAACCCCATTAATGTAGCCTATTTACTGGACTGCCTCCGTAAACATAGGCCATGTAGGCCACACATCCACATGTACAAAAACATGTTGCACTTTGCCAAATTTAGATTTTCGCATTTAGGCTTAGTTTGTAGGGGTTTTTTGCTTTAGAAGCATACTCACCCTCTTTATAGGCTAATCAGAAAGTGCTGCCTTTTTCAGATGTCTATTTTTCGTGAAATTTTCAGATTCCTTTGCACAGGTTTGCATATGGGCAATTCTTTGGTAACGGAATTACGGAATTTTGTCACTTTGTCAAGGATTATTCTTTCCCAAGAAAATATGTTCTATGCTAGGCAACTAATCTAAACATGGAAAGGGAGCCAAGACACAATAGAATTGATTGACCGCTAAAAAAAAAAAAATCCCACAAGATTTCCCTTTAAGGGGCGGAGCTTAATATCGGTAACGGAATTACGGACAGAGGACAAGCATATTTGAGTTCTCGCATAAATTAATAAAACTCTCTGAAGTTTGGAAATTTAAAAATTGGACACTACCTGTTATTTGTAGAGTTCAGGGGTGTTGTTAACTTCAATGCAGAACAAAGTTGAAAAAATAATCACTCTTTTCATAATTTGCATTTTAATCACGGTAACGGAATTACGCCTGGGCGGTAACGGAATTACGCCATAGGTTTACATGTACATGTAATAGGTAAATGCAATACATTAACATTGAATTCAACATAAACTCATCACAATACAAATTTTAGAAGTTTATAAAATGTCACAAGGGGAAAGCTAAGTGAAAATTAGCAGATCAAAATGTAAATGTAGGCCTAAACATGTCTGGGCTTCATTTTTTAGGTCAAAGGTCAAGGTCAAATGAAAGCAGTCTGGTGATGGCTGCATTGCCTGTTAGCAATGTATATTTTTTTTTACCGAAAATCAAATTTTACTACATGTATGAACATTTGTATTATCGTATTTCACTAGTTTATCGTGGAAAATACAATAAAACTGCACTGGTTGGCATCTCTGAGCAAGGGAAGATGTTAAGTTATGCCAAGTAGAACATGTAGAAGTACAAGTACAGTCTGGTACTCAACTTTCATATACTTGTTGTCGAATATATTTTCTGTGGGTACCAGACAATGGCTTTGGCAACACATATTTAAAGGGAATGTACATCATTGGCTTTTGCTGTAATTTTCAGAAGTGAACTATTTGAGGGGTTAGTATAATAGATCAAATATTGTTACACTGACATGTTTGAAGTTTTGTGTTCGAAAATGCTGGAAAAATCAAGAAAAACAAAACTGTTCAAGTAGTCTGGTTCCTTGACTCCACTAAAGGTAAAATTGGTCAATTTATAAATGCCTGAAAATTGGAGGGTAAGGGAACCAGACTAGCTGGCCTGCACCCGTTCATGAACATGTAACAAATACCCGGTAGCACACAAAATTTGGACTGGAAAGAGTGTAAAGTTGGAGCAGTAGTTGAAAACTAGTTAGGTTTTTCCAACGGTGGTTGGCCGACCACTGTTGGAAATGTATACAAAAATATCATTTTCTTGAAAATTACTTCATACCAGGTGCCATAATTTTACAGGATGCTTAAGACTGTCATTTACCAACATCCTTGTAAGGTATTTTGTAAAAACTTGGTAGTTTTATTTTCTGATGTTTGCAAATGTTGTATATTCCCTTTAAGCATCCAAACAACTATTAGCATTTTTTAAATAGTAAAAAAGAAAAAGTAAAAGTAAAAAATATCAATGGAACACCTGATTATTTTTAATTGTATAATAGCAAATTAAAGAAGGAAATGATTTAAGAAGTAATTTAGTATTTAAAGTTATTGTCCAAGGTTACATGCAAATCTCCTATTTAATATGTCATGTACATAATCTGGAGGAAATGTGCATACTTTGTGCATGCGTAATTCCGTTACCGTAATTCCGTTACCGTTTCGTAATTCCGTTACCACTTGGAAAAATGCCAAGAAATTACTATTTTAAAGTTTTTATTTTTCATTTATGTTTGTAGTAGGGTCTTTTCTCAACATACATGATTTGAAGAAAAAAAACAAGAAAATTTGTGAAATAAGTAACTTTTGCCATTTTTTCGGTAACGGAATTACGTGCTAATTTTGACATTTTTAAATGAAGGCCTACACTATATATATATATATATATTTATATTTTTAAAATTTTTTAATGACCCTGAGTAATGTTAGTAACTTGTAACATCATAAAATAAATCAAATCTTTTCCCTACAATTCAGAAAGTAATACATACACAAAATTTTATTTTTTTACCAAATCTGAACGTTTTTAATCATAAATTGAAAAAATCACTGTTTTTACCAGAAATATGTATTTTTTTTCAATTTCGTTTTTTGAACTGAATTCCCCATTTAATTGAGGTCTGGAAAAAGTACAAAAAAAGTTTAATATGTAAATATTTATTTTTGACATTTTTTGCTCTCCCATGGAGAATTGCCCATATAAAAATTTTAACATGAAATTTCACAAAAAATAGAAAGCTGAAAAAGGAAGCACTTTCTGATTAGCCTGTAAAGAGGGCATGGAGGGTGAGTAGGCTGGAGGGTGAGTGGGCTTCTAAAGCAAAAAAATGCTACAAACTAAGCCTAAATGCAAAAATCAAAAATTGACAAAGTGCAACACATTTTTGTACATGTGGATGTGTGGCCTATGTTTACGCAGGCAGTCCTGTAAATAGGCCACATTTATGGGGCTAATGTGTACAAAAAGTTGGTTTAATTTTCAACGAAACTCAAATGGAAATCAATTGCATTCATACTCGCCATGTTGGCTCAGTATAGCAAGCCTTTACTTTTTCGTCAAAATGGGGACTTGGGGGGGGGGGGGCTTACTTTTGGTGAAATTCATTGTTGAATTTTTCAAAAATCCCTGTATTCAATTCTTCGCACGGTTGTTGTTGTCATTGTGACAGACAAGATCTGCCTCCGCAATCAAAAGATTCTAACTATTATTTTTTTTTGAGGGGGGGGGGGGACCAGACTGCACATTTATCACGTATAATACGCAGGCATACACGTCTCACAGTAATTCGCGCGCCGCAACATGAAATACCTAACAACTGTTTCATGTCAAGGCAGTAAATACATAATGTACATAATAATATTACTATACTGAGCCCACACGGCGAGTATGAACACGATTGATTTCCATTTGAATTTAGTTAACAAATTTCCCTAAAACTCTGATGCATACTTAATACATTTGACATTACTTGCTGTATTTTTAACAGGTTCTGTATTGAGCATAGAAGATTACTCGGGAAAAAGTTTCAAACACCAGCCATTCCTGCCATCTGACCATCCAATGCAGACTTTGCACAGCAATATTGTCTTGTAAGAACTTATTTCTCTCAAATTTTCCAACTATAAAAAATGTATAGATCCTTTTCTTATCTTAACTTTCCTTTCTTTTTGTTTACACTTTCCCCACATTAACCAATTCCAGATTCATGCTACTGTGCCTGAGAACAATAAAACCTCAAACCAACCCGCTACTGTTACTGCCAAACTTTTCATGATGATCCTTCCACATTGTAGAAATACATGTTCCATTGACTTGAAATGAATTCAATTGATGGCTTTATAGGCCTATTTGCACCCTATACATTTTATTCAGTATAAGGGACAGGTTTTTTTTGGTATTGTACACTTGATAATATACATGTAGTCTAGACACACCCACATAATATAATTGCTGGCAAACATTTGTCCATCTTCACCGTCACAGATTACCTACAAACTTGGCATTTATGACATATTCAAAAATACAGTCATTGCACTTATTAAGCATTTAAGAAACTTAACATGCTCATTTCTTTTATTTACTTTCATTTGTTTCAGACATCCTGATAAATGCACATTCTTGCCTCCTATGATGAACTTTGACACTTCCCATTCATTGAGATCAACACTTCCAACAAATGAGCTTCGTTGACAACACACCACTGATGGACACTTCATCGAGTTCTGCACTCCACAACACTGCTGCACACCACACTTTATTAAGTATCAATCTTCTCACAAATTGTGTACTCTTAAGAAAATAAACATTTCATAAATGAACTTCATTTTTTTGTACTAGCTAACTTATACAGTATGTGCATGTGTTATTTCACTATCCTTTACATAAACGAAATCTAGCTCATTTAATACAATAAATCGTACTTCTGTCAGTACTTGCCACATCGCTCAAGTAGGCAGCCTGAACAAAATTCGCACTTTATTAACCCTCCTACACAAACATGCATTCTCTGCCAAGCTGTCTTTGCAGTCAAAATCAATCAAAGTATTATTTCAAACAGTTAAAAGTTCCCAGCCTACAAGCAAAATTGACTGGCTGTGACTATTTACAAATTTAATTTAATACAAATATTCGCTGTAGATGATTATTAAGTCAGCTGTGCAACCGGTTTCCTGTTTTTAGCTTTTGACTAAAGATGACTAGTCAGAGTGCATCCTCAAAATATGCTCTGACTGCTTGTCACTAACCTCTGTAAAATGCATTGCTCGTGAAGTGCTCAAAAGTGACTGATTAGCTCTCCTTTTGTGCCATCGGCCACAGTCACTCAACAAATTATTTACTTCCCCTCATATGCCTTTTACACAGGCTACACACCAACAGTCAAATCACGTCTTGTATACATACAATGTACACTGTATACATACAATGTACACTGTAACCAATCACACTCCATCAACGGACATCCAACTTCTTCCCTCGTACTGCTGTGGTTTAGAAATCACTTCCCACATCTTGTTTCCCCTCCGCTTATAATTTCTCCCACTTTAAGGGCAACATCAATAGCCATTTTTCTTCATTTTGATCATAACTTGTAATTTGCTTTGTACTTTCTTAGCCATCACAATGAATGGCCCATCTTGGGCCATATGATTGACAACTTAACATAAAAAATGTGGAACCTTCACCCTAACCCCCTAGGCCCGTTCGGCTACGAAGCAGCCTCAATCCTTCACAATCCTCCAATCGGTCAAACTAAAATATTGCATGCACCCTCAATCCCACAAAATCCCCCAATATTCAGTGCTGAGTTGTGCATAGTGAGGTCGCCATTGCCTCAATCCTCCAAAATCCATCAATCCACAATATATATAGTGTATAATGCAAGTGCATAATGTAGTACAGTACCGCAGAATAACATAGTAACATTCATAATGTACAGGACAGTAAAAAAATACTTCCCTTGACAACAAAAAACAAAAACAACTGTAAAGAGTCATTCACACACAGAACTGCAAGTCATATAAAGCATACTGCACAAGTACATGGGCAATAACATGTGCAGTGTAGTGCATGTGAAACAGTACACCCCACTTGACCAGAATTTACCTTGCAAAACACTGGTGCATTCAATAGTGTTAGCCAGCAACCCATATAATACAGTTACAACTGTAAAAGCAATACGCAATGCAAGACATACATATCCTTGAAACAATGGTACACATCATTTATGTGTAGCCTATAGTATACAAATAACAAATGTTTGTGAGTGCAATAGTAAGACTAATTTCATGAGGTGACACATTGAATTTTCTATTCCACGAGGCGAAGTTCCTTTCATTTCAAATACAATGTCAAAGTCAATAACAAATGTGCTGTTTATCATTCTTCAATACAGAACAGTAACATCACCTGTTCATTTATCAAATATTCCGATCTGCTTAGAACTTTTCCGAGTTTGAAAACAGTTACTTGACTTTCATTTGAAAAAACAAATTGAATCTAATACTTCATTAATTCATTACATTTCTAATCAGAACAACCTTCAAAATATATTCACTACTCAATTCCCCAGCATGTATTACTCAAGAACTTACCATATTTCATGCCAGCAGAAGAGCACAATTTCACTTAAAATCTCCCCACAGTCAAATAAAGTATGAACATCAACTTCCTTTTACAATCACTAAAGATTTCTTTTTTCTTTTGTAATAAAGAGCATGACAATCTGCAACATGTCTTCTGCAATTGTCCAAACAAATCCCCAAACACATATATATATCTATATAAATACACTACATGTATGTTCATGTACACCTATTTTTAGTCTTTAGTTTTCACTACTATTTCAATAAACTTGCACTCTTTAGACACCCTCAACTCTGCCCTCTCTTGCAACAAAATTTCGCTCACCTTATAACTTGTCCCAATTTCAGCGCAACATCAATAGTAATTTTTCTCCATTTTGATCTTATCTTTGTTATTTCCTTTTGTCCTTTCTGACCCACCACCTTCAGTGGCCGATCATGGGCCTTGTGATTGACAACTTAACACAAAAACAGCATCCTTATCATGACCTTCATGATTTCTCCTTTGTCCTTCCACTGCTCTACATGACACGGGATCTCTTTCCTAATCTCAACAAACATTCAATTCGACTTCTGCCCAGTTCTGTCTGATTTTGCCAGGACACCACACTTTCAGATGCCACACCTCCAGTACTGTTGCGTCAACACATCATTGTAGTAGATACGCAATACACCCACGCTGCGATAAAAAGCTGCCTCAAGAGGGCATCAACAACAAGACCACTATCATCCATGAACCGCCACAAACTGTCTTCGGATTGCTGACATACCTAAAGCATCTCTTTTTCACAATGTCTTTAGCCACTTCCCTTTCTCGGAGGCTGACAAGCTTGTCCTCCCAATCCCTCATTACCTTCTCAATGGCCACAGTTTGCTGAAAAGCAGAGACTGCGATGATCAGTTCATGGACCTGGTAGAAGTTTGCTTCTGCTTCCAAGCGGCTCCAGCCACTGAAGTCGACGCGCATACAGCACATCTGAACAATTCTGAACATTGAGCCGTCCCGATCAATGATGATTCCTACATTCCTTCATTGACCTGTGCTGCTGGCTGCCACGGGCCGTTAAACATGCAATAAAACATGTTATTTGGGTACCTTCCTAGTGATGATCTTGTTGATGTCTATCCAACGCCTCCAACATCTAGACGAATGATGTATTCCATCAGCCAAAACATATTTCCGATCAATGATGATTCCTACATTCCTTCATTGACCAGTGCTGCTGGCTGCCACGGACCGTTAAACATACAATAAAACATGTTATTTGGGTACCTTACTACTGATGATCTTGTTGATGTCTATCCAACGCCTCCAACATCTAGACGAATGATGTATTCCATCAGCCAAAACATATTCCCGATCAATGATGATTCCTACATTCCTTCATTGACCAGTGCTGCTGGCTGCCACGGACCGTTAAACATGCAATAAATCATGTTATTTAGGTACCTTCCTAGTGATGATCTTGTTGATGTCTATCCAACGCCTCCAACATCTAGACGAATGATGTATTCCATCAGCCAAAACATATTTCCGATCAATGATGATTCCTACATTCCTTCACTGACCAGTGCTGCTGGCTGCCACGGACCGTTAAACATACAATAAAACATGTTATTTGGGTACCTTACTACTGATGATCTTGTTGATGTCTATCCAACGCCTCCAACATCTAGATGAATGATGTATTCCATCAGCCAAAACATATTTCCGATCAATGATGATTCCTACATTCCTTCATTGACCAGTGCTGCTGGCTGCCACGGACCGTTAAACATACAATAAAACATGTTATTTGGGTAGCTTACTACTGATGATCTTGTTGATGTCTATCCAACGCCTCCAACATCTAGACGAATGATGTATTCCATCAGCCAAAACATATTTCCGATCAATGATGATTCCTACATTCCTTCATTGACCAGTGCTGCTGGCTGCCACGGACAGTTAAACATACAATAAAACATGTTATTTGGGTACCTTACTACTGATGATCTTGTTGATGTCTATCCAACGCCTCCAACATCTAGACGAATGATGTATTCCATCAGCCAAAACATATTTCCGATCAATGATGATTCCTACATTCCTTCATTGACCAGTGCTGCTGGCTGCCACGGACCGTTAAACATACAATAAAACATGTTATTTGGGTGACTTACTACTAATGATCTTGTTGATGTCTATCCAACGCCTCCAACATCTAGACGAATGATGTATTCCATCAGCCAAAACATATTCCCGATCAATGATGATTCCTACATTCCTTCATTGACCAGTGCTGCTGGCTGCCACGGACCGTTAAACATGCAATAAATCATGTTATTTAGGTACCTTCCTAGTGATGATCTTGTTGATGTCTATCCAACGCCTCCAACATCTAGACGAATGATGTATTCCATCAGCCAAAACATATTTCCGATCAATGATGATTCCTACATTCCTTCACTGACCAGTGCTGCTGGCTGCCACGGACCGTTAAACATACAATAAAACATGTTATTTGGGTACCTTACTACTGATGATCTTGTTGATGTCTATCCAACGCCTCCAACATCTAGACGAATGATGTATTCCATCAGCCAAAACATATTTCCGATCAATGATGATTCCTACATTCCTTCATTGACCAGTGCTGCTGGCTGCCACGGACCGTTAAACATACAATAAAACATGTTATTTGGGTAGCTTACTACTGATGATCTTGTTGATGTCTATCCAACGCCTCCAACATCTAGACGAATGATGTATTCCATCAGCCAAAACATATTTCCGATCAATGATGATTCCTACATTCCTTCATTGACCAGTGCTGCTGGCTGCCACGGACAGTTAAACATACAATAAAACATGTTATTTGGGTGACTTACTACTAATGATCTTGTTGATGTCTATCCAACGCCTCCAACATCTAGACGAATGATGTATTCCATCAGCCAAAACATATTTCCGATCAATGATGATTCCTACATTCCTTCACTGACCAGTGCTGCTGGCTGCCACGGACCGTTAAACATACAATAAAACATGTTATTTGGGTACCTTACTACTGATGATCTTGTTGATGTCTATCCAACGCCTCCAACATCTAGACGAATGATGTATTCCATCAGCCAAAACATATTTCCGATCAATGATGATTCCTACATTCCTTCATTGACCAGTGCTGCTGGCTGCCACGGACCGTTAAACATACAATAAAACATGTTATTTGGGTACCTTACTACTGATGATCTTGTTGATGTCTATCCAACGCCTCCAACATCTAGACGAATGATGTATTCCATCAGCCAAAACATATTTCCGATCAATGATGATTCCTACATTCCTTCATTGACCAGTGCTGCTGGCTGCCACGGACAGTTAAACATACAATAAAACATGTTATTTGGGTACCTTACTACTGATGATCTTGTTGATGTCTATCCAACGCCTCCAACATCTAGACGAATGATGTATTCCATCAGCCAAAACATATTTCCGATCAATGATGATTCCTACATTCCTTCATTGACCAGTGCTGCTGGCTGCCACGGACCGTTAAACATACCATAAAACATGTTATTTGGGTGACTTACTACTAATGATCTTGTTGATGTCTATCCAACGCCTCCAACATCTAGACGAATGATGTATTCCATCAGCCAAAACATATTCCCGATCAATGATGATTCCTACATTCCTTCATTGACCAGTGCTGCTGGCTGCCACGGACCGTTAAACATGCAATAAATCATGTTATTTAGGTACCTTCCTAGTGATGATCTTGTTGATGTCTATCCAACGCCTCCAACATCTAGACGAATGATGTATTCCATCAGCCAAAACATATTTCCGATCAATGATGATTCCTACATTCCTTCACTGACCAGTGCTGCTGGCTGCCACGGACCGTTAAACATACAATAAAACATGTTATTTGGGTACCTTACTACTGATGATCTTGTTGATGTCTATCCAACGCCTCCAACATCTAGACGAATGATGTATTCCATCAGCCAAAACATATTTCCGATCAATGATGATTCCTACATTCCTTCATTGACCAGTGCTGCTGGCTGCCACGGACCGTTAAACATACAATAAAACATGTTATTTGGGTACCTTACTACTGATGATCTTGTTGATATCTATCCAACGCCTCCAACATCTAGACGAATGATGTATTCCATCAGCCAAAACATATTTCCGATCAATGATGATTCCTACATTCCTTCATTGACCAGTGCTGCTGGCTGCCACGGACAGTTAAACATACAATAAAACATGTTATTTGGGTACCTTACTACTAATGATCTTGTTGATGTCTATCCAACGCCTCCAACATCTAGACGAATGATGTATTCCATCAGCCAAAACATATTTCCGATCAATGATGATTCCTACATTCCTTCATTGACCAGTGCTGCTGGCTGCCACGGACCGTTAAACATACCATAAAACATGTTATTTGGGTGACTTACTACTAATGATCTTGTTGATGTCTATCCAACGCCTCCAACATCTAGACGAATGATGTATTCCATCAGCCAAAACATATTCCCGATCAATGATGATTCCTACATTCCTTCATTGACCAGTGCTGCTGGCTGCCACGGACCGTTAAACATGCAATAAATCATGTTATTTAGGTACCTTCCTAGTGATGATCTTGTTGATGTCTATCCAACGCCTC